TGTATTGTGTCTCTGTGGCATGACTCAGATCTGCAGCCAGCGAGTCCACATGACATTTATTTAAGGCTAAAGCCTAGTCATTGTTGTGTGGGTGCAGTGTGGAGACATGTGGTTTATAGGGTTGGGGAAGAAACAGCAAAGGCTCAAAAGCTTTATCTCTCACTGCTTGATTGGCTTATAATTGAGTTGCCAAGAGGTTGTATGCAGCAATCCGTACTCTGGGTGAAGTTTACCAAATGCTTTCTTTTAAATCCATTTTTCTGCTTCCCCCAACACAGGGGAGGGGGGGGGGGGGTAGCTTCCCATCTGTGTGTGTGTGGGCTGCTGACTGAATAACCGAGGCCTCTAGGGAATGAGTTTATTCGTTTTCCCACTCCAAAAACAACAACAAGAGAAATGCCGAGAGTGAGGAAGAAGGGAGAGCTCCTAAAGTTAAAGAGCAGACATAGACAGCGGCCTGAAAAAACATCTGGACATTCTTTATGGATCTCAAAGGATCTTATAGTTAGAAGAAAGATGGCCTGGAGTCATCAAGTACAAGCAGAGCCTCGAGTCACCTGTGTTTATAGGTTGTACAAAACCTGATTATATTGTTTTTAGTTTGGTATGAGGATAAGGAAATATGTTCTAACACCCAGATGCAGTATTCTAAACTAACCACCAGCAATCATTTCACTTGTTTTACCTGCAGTCCTAAAATAGCTCTATTACCTGGAAGTGTAATTAATTCTCCTTTCGTGAAAATGGTATTACTCAAACGCTGCAGGACCTATGAGCTCCACTCACGACCTCCCATTTATCACAATATTCACCTGACATGATCACAGTTTATTTTTAGCCCCCGACACCTCTTTCGTGGCATTCAATTATGCATGTGTTCCCATGCGCCGATCATCTGTGTTCCAGACAAAGAGGGATGTGTAGGGCGTTAAACTGTTGTGAAATAAAACGATTATTGTGTGTGAAGTACGCAAGTGCATAGACTGTTGTACGATGAGGGTGATTAAACAGCTTTTAGAAGAAAGTCTTTAACAGGGTGGTTTTTATGGTTTCCTTTCCTCTGAATCATTTTTAAGACTCACTCCAGGGTCATTTCCCACCCTTGCAACACACACATGACAGTGCTCTGAGTCACCGTTATGAAACTAAGACACAGTGATAAGGAAGGAAAGGAGGGCGACCTAAAGGTATGTCATGTCTGGAAGCCGCATGATGATCCTTCCCCAGGATACACAGCTGCAGATGACTGTTCAGTGATGACTCCATAGCTCTAAGGCTGTATTGTCTATAGTGCAGACACTGAAAATGACACTGATTACGGCTAAACTCTTCTCAGGGTACAAATGCAGCAGTTTTGTTTCATTACATCATGCCATCGCTCATGCTTCGATTTCTAGTCCCACTTTTGGGCTACTTCACTCGAGTGTGTGTCTCTATCCTCTCATTGATTTTCCAATTGAGAGCGAGGCATGGAGGCACAGACGGCGTCCATTGTTTCCATTTGTACGACGTGGTGATGATCTCACCGGCAGCCGCATGCCAGCCTACGCTACTCAGTTCTTGCTAGACTTCATCAACTGAGAAGCTGCTGTTAATTACAAGTCCATATTCTAATTACTCATCACTCGGCGCGGCGGTAAGCCCTGGAACGAGGACAGAAGTGAAGAGAGAGACAATCTCAACGAAGGGGGCATTTCTGCAACTCATTGACCTGGGGTAATTGGAAGCACATTCGGATGAATAGAAAAGCAGGATATGGCAGAGTGCGCCGGTTTAGCGTCTGACGTTGCATTCGAGGCAGTGGAAAAGAAAAACGCCACTGTGGGTCCGGGGCCGTGTTTTCATGGAGGAAGTGTGTGATTAGTGGTTGTTTGGTTGGTCAGGCAGTGGAACTCAACCTGTTATCTTTGCTAAGTGGCCCTTGTTTCACAGTTGTTTGCCTTATGGAATTACACGGTCCCCCCTAAATGTTTTAAAGTCCAATGTAAATACATATGTTTCTATGTACCATATGCAGAAGATAAAGGACCATATTGTGCAAACAAACACTGACATGTTTTCTCATGTTAGTGCTGTAATCTATCAGACAAGCAACATGAAAGCATTCCTCAAATGACAAAAGTAAATGAAACATCTCTTCTTATAGTTCAACAATATAATCCATCATAGTCAGTCTGATACATACATAAATAACAAAGAGGTAATTAAGGGATAATGCATCCTGGCAAGAAGATTAAAGATAATGGCAGGAGGCTTTGCAGCTAAATTATAGATATGGAGAGCAAAATCAACTCAAGCTAGCATATGGGATAACGTACTGTACAGTATATTGCCATTATGAGGTTCTCAATAAAGAGGCTTTCAGGTATTGATGGTTGGGTTCTCTCCAAGACAGTTTAAATTATTAATGTTGTGTGTATGTGCGATCAATGCCAGCTGCCTGACAGACACAGTCTTGGTTTTATTGCATCTTTCAGATGCTGGGGTGACTCTCGGTCAAGATATTTGACAAAGCCATTCCACTCTAGGTCAGCTTTTTGCAATTTCCCCTGTCACGGTTCACAACGAACTGTCAGTTTTCAGGCCATGACGCGACCAATACATTTTCCTTCAGCTCAACGACGAATGTGTTATGTTATGGGGCATTCAGGTTTTCCTTGCGGAGCCAGTCTGAGTTCATAAAGTTCATCCTCTTAAGCTTCAAAGTCATGCCATGACTCACACAGGCAGATACTATGCAGAAAATCTCCTTCTTCCTCGATATAGATCTGTGGACCTGAATTCTTTCAAGGCAAATGAGGAAGAAAGGAGTGAAAAGGAACAGATCTGAAAGGAGCAAATGAAATGAAGGTCCGTTTTGAAGTATTATTGCCTTTCTTTACTCTCTCCTCAAGCTGCAAACCCCCCTCAAAGGACATCTGTCCATCTCTGTGTACACCAAAGGAGCTGATTAATGGCCTGGCTAACCCAGCACTCAATGCTGAACCACACCACACCAATCTAATTACCCAGAGAAGAGCACACAGTCTCTAGTATCTTGCCCTTCTCTACTCCGTGCATTAGAATGAGGCAGCATTAAAATGGATGACAAATCTGGATTATGTTCAGCAAAAAAAGAAGGAAAGCGGAGTGAGGGAAAATGCCCAAGAATGAAAAGGCAGCGTTTCATGAATAATAAAAAACCGTCTGCCTCAAACTGCAGTCGGGGAATGATAATGAAATAAATAATGAATTGATTACTATGCATCTGACGGCACACTGATATGATTTGTACGTGCCGCGAGGGGGCCGGAGCTTGTTGTAGCACCACGGACAGGCTTAATGAAAGAGGAATGAAGAATTCTACTCTTTTAATACCACTTGTGATAATTGGGCTTCAGTTCAGAGCGCTCGGCAGAAGTGCATTGCACTCATTCGCAAAACATAAATTATGCGGCAACCACAGAATTGGCTGCTTTTGAAATTAGAAATAAGAGGAGCTCCATTCAGTGTTTTGATCTGATTAGTATTGGGAAATCAGCATGCCCATTAGAGCACATCCAGATTTTACTGCCAAATCAAATCCTCAATATGATCAATACTATAGCGGGTGGTGGGGGGGTTCTAAAGTGGCAATAAATCATTGTGATCACTTGTAATTTCTGCTGACAAAAAGTGAAATCGAGGAGCCTTCAGTGCTGTTACCGTACTACACATATCTGACTGTGAACAATGGCTTTCCTTTCAGAGAGAAAAATACTTTAATACAACAGACTGTCCAACCACTAGAGGAAGTGGTTAGGCAGGCTATGTTTCTTCCTGATCCACTCAGATGCATGCTGGGTTCCTCTGCAGGACAATATGGACCCGGCCAAACCCTCGTCCTTCACCACAGAGCCAAGAACGCACACACGCACACACCCACTCATGAGAAAATGCTCTCAAGCCCACACACATACATGCTCAAACAGTGATTAAATTAGTCTGAAGGAGCAACAGGGGCCTTCAGGACAATATTTTCATTGCAATAATAAAGGAAAAGCTTGCTTATGGCCCTCCCCAAGCAAATATTTGGCTTTGGGTCAGCTCTATTATTCATCCCCTGAGGAATATGTGGGGGCCAAACTTTTCAGCAGTGAAGCAAAGACTGTTGAAAAAACAGTAGAAAAAGAAAAACAGTCTGGGCATTTACAAGGCCTGGAGGCTTTCGGTTAATAAATCAAACATGCTCCGACTGCAGCAAGGTAGTGCTGTTCTGTCACTGGGGGGTTTCTTCTGTGAGTGGACTTGGGATATGTGACTTATCCCCATCTGGGGATGGAAGAACTAAATCCTTAATCTTTCCACATAAAGTTCCCCCGGTGGGTGATGATCGCTTCGTGCAGATAAGCCGACAGACAGAACAATATGACAGAATCTGTGTGTGTGTGAGTGTGTGTGTGTGTGTGTGTGTGTGTGTGTGTGTGTGTGTGTGTGTGTGTGTGTGTGTGTGTGTGTGTGTGTGTGTGTGTGTGTGAGGCTGGGCAGGATGCCTGGACTAAATCCCAGCATCCCCTGAGGCGGCCACTGTTATCAAGGAAAGGGGAAGTTATCAGGTAGGACAGGAAGACAAAGGGAGAGAAAAGACACATACAGATAGGTACTAGACAGTGACAGAGAGAGTGGACACAGGCAATTTTTGTGAGGCGTGGACTCAACCACCCGGAGTTCCATAAGGACGGCTGACATTCATCATTGAAATTGGCGGGTCTGGCAGAAGTGTTATGGAGACACTGCACCTTCAGAGACCGAAGGACAAACAGTGAAAACTCATACTGTGTTCAAGCAGGTCTTTTCCAATACTCAATATCTCCTCAGACTGTGACTCACCTCCAAAAAACTGTGGGCAGTTGGCAAATTGTTTTATACTGCCATGGCTTTAGATTTTTCCTACCTCTCCTCTGGAACCCAATGTCATTTTCTGTGATTTTAATCAAGTGCCCCCAATACAAATCTCTGTGACATGATAAATAATATTGTACCTGTATCCACTCCTTGTTCGAGTCCTCTGCCGGAGTCCATGCATTTTCATAGTAGTTTAGCCTGGAGCGCTCTGGGGACCAGCTGGGGTTGTACTGCGACGAGGCCATGATTTGGTCCGATGTGATCTCTCCTGATTCCATCCCCAAAGGGTCGCTACAGTCAAAGTCTGAGGGAATGAAAGGAAACATGTGAATCCTGAGCACTGAAAGCACCAGAATGTACCCAGCATGAGCTTTCAGTGTCCCCTAGATTCAGAGCTCGTCTCTGGGGAGAAGGACACCACACGACAGGCACTCAGCGCTGCTTGCCGGAAAAAGAACCACACATCAGCGACGCCTCAGTAAATCCTTTCTGTTTCTCCCTCTTTAGTTTCTAATGGAGGACGAATGGAAGCGTTTCACATCAAGACGTAAAAATGTCTTCATAAAACATTCAGTATGGGCTAAGATTACTCCAGTATTAGGCGTTAAAGTGACTTTCACTCCAGTTGTTTCTTCCACTGACTGGATCTGTTTCCCTCACCTCCCTATGGGCAGTTTATCGTTTTTGCACACACTGACTATTTTTCCCATCTTGGTCTCTTGGGGGAGTTTAGGTGTGCTTAGATTCGTATTCTGGGGTCATATATTATACTCAATAGCCCAACCAACCATGGTAGGAGGTGGCTTTCCTTGTTCGTGTTGACATGGGGCAGCCACTTTGACTCCGGGACTAAAGACTCAGCTGGGTCAGCTTGGGGCCGGACTCTAACCCCTGGAGGTCAGACAAACTGACACCGCTGCAGCAACGGTTGAAACAAACGTTGACCTTTTGATCTGGGTAGGAGTCGTTTAACGTCACTACAACAACACAGAGGCATGTGGAGACACACTTTCACACATTCATGTGGGCCATAATTATTTCCTTTGTTTATTTACTTATTTATCTTCTGATGGTGAAGTTGGTCTTTGCTTCTCTAAACGCAAGGCTTCTTCAGCCACATGGTGCATTGCCCTAAAACGCAGTCATGTGCTTGTGTGTACATGGCCTATACACACTCAGAGGGCATAGGACGAGGAGCTGCTATGTGACAGATGGTCTCTCCATCTGCCATGATACAAACACACCTCCGTCTCCGGGTCAGCGTGTGCTTTACAGTGTCAATGCACGGTTGCATATGTACGCGCATGCTAACGCGCGCGAGTCTCAGTGTGATGCTTAGAACAATGTCTCGCACCTCTTCGCTCCCATCGTCAGCTGATGCTCATACTTGTCAAAGTTTTGCACTCAGACCCACATCACTTAGATAACTGGATGATGATCAACAAACACACAAAGAGGTATTGTTTGGGTGCAAAACCAAAGGGCTGATAGCTGAGAAGATATAGCTGAGAAGATAGGGAGTGCTGCTGAATGGCTTGGGAGGGTGATTGGAGGGAAGGGGTAAAACAGAAGACAAGGCCTCCTTTCATCACCTTATCACATCACATCAGCAGCTTTCTGCTTGAGTGTACCCTTCCCCTTGCTTTGCGGAGGCGAAAAAAATCCACCGTGTATTATGCATAAGGGGATTATGAATGATTCAAGTGGTACAATTCTGGAAGAGCGCAGACCCAGTTTGGATCTTGGAAACGTCTTGGTCGGTGATGTAAGACTAAGCAACTCATGTAAAGGGTATTTACTGATCACGGGTCAGATAGTTCACCCTGCATCTTAATGGTGAATGTGAAAAGTTGATTAGCGTAATCTGATTTAAGATGTGTGATTAAAGAGAGTCAAGTTACTTGGAAGAAACTTGGGAGGAATTACATCATTGGTGTGTGTGTGTGTGTGTGTGTGTGTGTGTGTGTGTGTGTGTGTGTGTGTGTGTGTGTGTGTGTGTGTGTGTGTGTGTGTGTGTGTGTGTGTGTGTGTGTGTGTGTGTGTGTGTGTGTGTGTGTGTGCGCGCGTGCATGTGTGAGTGTGTGTGTGTGTAAGTTAACTCAGCGCCTGTCTTCCCTCTGGCAAGACAAAATCCTTTTTGGAGACGATTAGTAGATTTGTTGAAAGTTATCCATCTTTATTACTTTTCAAAGACTGGCTGTGTGTGTTCGAGGAGGTCTGGCCTCTGGAAAGATTTATGACTGCTACCAGTGCTTGTCTTCCTTAATGAAATGTTTTGTTGGAGCATTTTGCAAAATGGGGTCGGGGGGTCGAGCCCAGGGATGACGATGCTGCATGTCAAAGCCCTAGGGATGTGTTCCGGGGATAGTTACTGGTGGGGAAGCTGCCATTTGCAGTCTGTCTGGGCTCACAGTGTGTAAACGTAGGCCTTGTAAACCATGGGTGGTAGACTTGTACCCTACATTACCCAAATGAAGAAGCAGTAGGTGTTTATTTAATTAACTCCTCAGCTCTGTTAAACTTGTGGGAATTTATCATAATATGACCATGTGTGGCTTCGGTTGCAGACATCTGCTTCTTACTTTTAGTACTACTCCTCTGGGGGCAACTTTATTACCCTCTAATTCTTATGCAACTCAGTTTTAATTCACTCTAACACAATGCAGATGGTCTTCTATTGAACACATCTTTCTGGATTGTGATTTATACACAGATCTGTAAAGTTGTCAGTGTTTTTATGCCCGCTTACCCTCTGGAACGGTTCTTTCGATGACAGTGAAGTTTGCCGAAAAGCCTTCCTTAGCGATGGCGCTGTCAGTGTTGATTGTTAGTGCCAGGATGCCTGTGTATGAGATGATCCTGCCTGGGGTGTTCTGCCCACAGTATCTCCCAACATATGGACCGACTGGAGAAAGAAGAAGAGAAAAGCACAAACATTGTTACACTAGTTAAACTGGGGTTAACTCAATATTTGTTTGTGTGCCAAAGCCAGGTCACACATTGGTTTAACTACCAAGCCCCCCAAGGAAGTGTGAAAACTAGTGTGTCAGTGTGGTATGACACCGGTTGCATTTTTGTACCCGACCCCATAAAGACGCTTGAGAAAAGACTCCCAACATTCCTGCTTGCCACAAAAAGAGCAAAGCGGAAGAGGGACCTGTGGTGTGGGCAGGTCACGGTCTCTGTCTATTTGCTGGCTGTAAATACCGTCACCCTTTTTTTTCTCCATCTTGAAGCGGACACAGCTTTGGCTGAGTGAGTTTTATAAAGGAGACTGCGTCGAGACAATAGGGGAACATTAAAGGGAGCAATAAAAGCCCATGTTTCACTGAGAAAAAGGAAGTGTGAGGGAAACGGGAGGTAGAAGGAGGAGGCAGAGAAATATGGAGAAAGAGCAAGAGAGCACAATGACCTTGCCCTATGCCTGTGATGTGTGCTATGATCCATGCACATTTGTGAGTGTGTGTTGCTGTTGGTGTGTAGGGACCCGGAGCTTATCTGTGATTAGTAATGCTGTGATCAGTGGCGAGTGACAGTCCTGCCTCCCTGTGGCTTCCTGTCATCCAAAACATGCCACTCTCTCAGCTCCTACATGAAAGGCAAAGGCCAGACCACGGGGACTCGAGGGGCAGAGGTGGGCAGGCTCCGATTAATCTTCCAGGCCTGATGTATGTGCGTGAGAATCTATGTGTGCTTTTAAACCTGCAAAGGCCTGGGCTGAACATAAAAATGCCATCTCCCGGATTATCTGCATGACTCCCCAGCGCTATGAAATTTTAAAGAGCCTCGCTGTGAAGTCTGCATTCTGCCTGCCTCTCCATTCCTTAGGGAAGAGGGACGAAGGGAGTGGAAGTTGTTCCTCCACAGCACCTGTCCAGCGAGGTGTAATCCCAGTGCTTCACACAGGCCTGCACGGACATCTCCCATCGCGACGGCTAGCATGCCTCTAGCCCTAATGCACTATCGATCCACCAGGCACCACAGGAGCCACCTGGCAGAAGCCCACACACTATTTCTTCACATGGCTTATTTTTATACAAGGTTGTCTGTCACATTCAAAAACACTCGAAGGGTGTGATGCCACATCATTGCGAAGTGGTAGAGTCCATTTTCTGCCCTGAATAGTCTATTCAGTTCTGCCGTTTGAAAAAAGGTTCTTGTGCGTATTCTTTTTTGTCATTCATTCTACTGAGAAATAACTGAGGAATCGCTGAATCTTAATAAGTCGGAAGCACAGAATGTTTCTATTCCACATCCCTTGAAGTACTTTTTGGTTAAAATATGTATTAAAAGGTGATAATAATGTGACATTTTTTTCAGCTCTCCAAGCCTTTCACTAATCAACACAAATCTTGAAAATTAAACAAGTCCCACCTCAGGGAGAGAACACCAAATGAGCAGGAATACTTTGTAGAATCAAAAAGTCGAGCAAGCACAGTTCAAATTTACCGAGATGTGAGCTGAGAGAATATTGAACTTCAAGTAAACTCACTTGAAAAGGCAATGATTTTTACCCATCAACCTTATCACTTGGAACACTATAGCAGACTACTTCAGCCACTGATGGGTGAGAAAAGCTTTCATCTTGTTCACCCTGTGTTAAAATAGCCAGAAGAAAAACTAAAAACTTCAAGAGGTGAATTTTGCTCACTGAGTTCAAAGCCTCATCTCTGGCCATTTCGGAATTGCTTTGATCACTCCGTCTCTCACCTGTTGATTTTTAAGATGGTTTTGAGAACGCCATTTTATGGCGATATTTAATAGTCGTCTGAATCTTTTCGATTGCTGTGGGATTTTGCAAAGAGGAGATGTTGGATCTTGTTAAGACCAAACTGGTTCAGTTCAAATTCTCCTTGTGGGAAAAACAAGAAAACCTCAAGGAAATTCCTTTCAGAGTCATTTCCCTACAAGATTGAATTGTCTTTTTTATACTTCAGAGAAGCAACCTAAATACCATGGCCTAGATTTTTACTGAACTCCCCAATGTACAATCAATGCCGCCTTTGACAGAAAAAGGAAATGTGTCAGGCTTGCGCAAACAGGAAGGGTTTATCGTTGAGCGATGACAAAGTGTTTCACTTATGCCGATAGATACTTGAACCGGTGACAAGTCTGGTTGAGGCAGTAAGTCCACTGGATAATACCACTATTTTGCAGAGGTGGGGACTCGAGTCACATGACTTGACTCGAGTCGCATTTTTTTTCACTTGAGACTTGCTTGTCTAACATTGATAACAGACTTGACTTGACTTTGACTTGGTATTCATGACTTGAGACTTGACTTAAGCTTGAGACAGATGACTTGAAAGGACTTGACTGTTTAAAATTAAATATTTGCGTTTGTTTTTGTAGTGAGATATTACGTTTAGTTTTTTCGAAAAACGTGATTGGGTGATTATAGCGACGTGCGCGCAAACCTGGCAACCCACTAGAAGGCAGGAGTGTCAGTTAACATGTCAGCGGCTAGCGTTACTCCAAAAATAGTGAAGTTTGGATTCAAGGATTATTTTGTCGATGATGGTAATAAGAAGAGAACAGCGGTATGCAGGGTCTGCAGCATAAATATCAGTGACACGACCACCACAACATCCAACTTCATTCGTCACAAAAAAACACAGAGAAAGGGTACGTGCATGTGTTGTGTTTAGCTAGAAAGGCTAACGTTAAGTTTAAAGCTACGTAGACTTGGTTTCAAATCGATTAAGCATTGCAAGAAGAAGACAAAACGGTAAATTAACACTAGAACCGCCAAGGGATTCATATTGTACTAACAGCCCCGATACTGACCGGGCTGTCAGGAGAGAGAGAGAGAGAGGAGAGAGAGAGAGAGAGAGAGAGAGAAGGAGACTAGAGAAGAGAGAAGGAGAGAGAGAGAGAGAGAGAGAAGAGAGTGAGATAGAGAGAGAGAGAGAGGAGATAGAGAGAGAAGAGAGATAGAGATAGCGATGGAATTGATCTGATAGCTAGAGAGAGAGAGTTCTCTCTTCTCTTCTCTTTCTCTCTCACTTCGCTCGCTTCGAGAGAGAGAGAGAGACTTTTGAATAATGTAGTTCATCTACTTTTATTAGTTTGTTTAAATGTTTTAATTATGTTGTTTTTGTTTGTAGAAGTGCATCATTCCTTGATTTATTGTAAAATGAATCTGAACTTTTTGATCTGTTACGATGATAAACTGAAGCAATTTCTACATTAACCCAATTAAGTGAGTTTTAAATCGTCCTACTTAGTTTATAAGGAAATTATGAAGAGGAACACATTAAATGATTTGAAAATGATATCTATGTAGGTGCTGACGCTGTTGGCGGTTCTAGTGTTAACAACAGAATTTAAATTAAATATGTGTAATGGCAAATGCCATAGCCTATATGATACACACACATATGATATATATATTTAACAGACTTTTTGATTGAGTCCTAGCTATATTGTCTGCAGTTCTAGGGTTAATATTAATCTAATATGATTAGAAATTAGATTTCAAATGATTAACTGTGTATGTAATGAAGATTATAGTGTGGGTTAAATCCATTTTCATAACCACTGTCTTTTAACTGATGCGGAAATGCGGAAACTGGGCTTATTCATCAGAATTTCGTATGACTTGACTTGCTTGACCTGAGCAATGACTTGCTTGACTTGCTTGACTCTCACCACAGTGATTTGGGACTTGCTTGATGCAGGTCAAGACTTGAGACTTGCTCATGACTTGCACATGTAGGACTTACTCCCACCTCTGCTATTTTTGTGTAAAGCTGTTTATTTCTCCTGAAAGAGCATTGAGACCCACCTTCTCCCTTTTCCATCGCAGGAAAGCAGATTTCTAAGCAGTGGCTTTATATACTTTTTATTTTCAAATGTTGCTATAGGTTAAGAAATGAGAAAGCAAGTAATAGTATCAAAGAGTCACTTTTAGTTTTTATATTAACCAGCCATTCTTGCTTACCTCCAGGGAATCCATCCCAGATCTCCAGTCTGTCATAGCGGCAGAAAACACCAGTAGGGGGCGTCGGGTCGGGCTCCAGCTCGAAGCTCTCAAACTCCAGAATGATCTCAGACATCTTGGGGGCAAAGATCATGAAAGTGCAGTCCAGGTTGTTCGGATATTTCTCCGGGAAACCAGGTGACTTTATGACACCGCTGTTGGAGGTGAAGTTCCTGGAGCATTCGGGACCTGCAGGGAGGAAACCAGATGGGAAGTGAGAAGATGAGACGAACCATTGACAAAGGAAGGGGTGGGGATGATTCTTTTGAAAGACTGTTGGTTAACTGATCTGTTTGGGGTTCCTTTGTGTGGTGGGTATTAAGGAACTCTGCCTCCCAGCTGTTCTATTGATTGAAGGACAGTTTACCGCCTAGAGACTGGAGACCACCTTGATAGTTCTTCTATTCACCAGAGGCTACATCTGGGTCTCTCAACCGTGCTCTGTGTGGTTTTGTGCATTTTTTTTGTGTTTCCTCATGGGCACCAACATCACTCTACTTTATCACTGTGCGTGTTAAATCTGGAACATCTGGACTGTGAGAGGAAACATCAGTAAAATAACTCAATCATCAGAATCGGGGAGAAATGGATTAGCGACTTTATATGTGCGAAAACCTGTCACACACACCCTCACTCGGTCATGTGAGACATATGACACTCATATGACATGTCAGTGATACAAATAAAGGGCAATGACTGTTCGTACATCAACACACAGATGGAATCTTGAACACAATTATAGACAAGGGAAAATATGTATTCACAAGGCTCCCCAGAGCCTTAACTGCCTTTTCAGCTGATGAGCCTTAACACATTCTCAATATTAGTCATTTCTCAGAGCACCATGAGCACAAGATTATGATTTAAGAATGACTGACATGCGATTTAAAAAATGACGCTTACAGCTGCAGGACATTTTTTAAGAGTGATAGGAAGAGACATTAAAACATATTCACTATGCACGCTCAAGCACTGGGCCAGATTGTAGCCAAGCCTGGCTTCATACTACCACACACACATCTCAGGAAAAAAACAGGACTCCTGTCATTCAGGGCAATTATTTAGAGCCATTAGTGGCAGAAATGTGCACAGGGTAATGTCATTTTCATGATAGTCTGACAGCCGGCGTGATGGGCGCAGATGGGGCCGATCGAAACCAAAATTGCAGGGAGTTCTGGCTAGATAGAGCCTCCGTGCCACAGTCATTGTAGCTTAAATAAATGTGGCAAACTGCTTTTTCCACTGTCACTCAAGCTGCTCGCTGGGCCTCTAATTCAGAACCATCAGTCCCACTTCAGTCTGTCCACCAATGGAGTGAGTGAAGGGGACTGAGAGCCATGTTGATTTTTGCTCCCCCCAAGTTAAAAGCCACGACAAGCGGCATTTTGCCTCTAAGGAGAGCTGACATTTAGTGCTGCTGCTAAAGTGTGGCTTTCAAGAACAGTGGGCACCATTAATTTCACAGCTTCCCTTCGTATTTATGTCTGGAAAATTGAGAGATTTTGTCCAGATAGAGCCATTTGCCGAGATGAGAGGGTTGCTGGATGCTGCAGGTCTGCACAGTTCGGCGTATTTGTAGAGAAATGTCAGACCGTTTTGGGGGAAAAACCTGTAGATACTAGCCTCTTCTTTGGAAAAAGGGCACCCATGAGTCCCTGTGTGCTGTAGACAGCTGAAGTACCCAAAGTGCAATTCAGGTCAGTTTGTTGAATTTCCTGTGGATATTGGCTCAAAACTCCACTCTCAATGTATTTCATCAGCCTCCACCGTGACCCTTATCTCAGCTCAGCAGTTCACCAGAACAGATTTAGTCTTTGGGAATGTTTCACTCCAGCTAACTTACACATTTTACCATCACCATTATGTACTGAGTCTGTGCTTTTTCTTGAATTATCATGACTGAGGCGGACTCAAACTCCACTATTGTCAGCTTTTGTGTTGCGGAACATGTTTATACCCCCTCAAGGAAAAGGACGGAGTGAAGACATCGCAAACAAAACAGTCTGGCGAGAGAAAACTGAGCGCTGTGGTCGGTCCCACCGGCGTGATAATCATCCAACAGATCTCTTTTATCTACTGTCTCCACACGGGAGGGCTTCTGTCCCTGCCCCCCCCGCCCTCGCTACATCCAGGATGCTTTGTGCTGATGCGTCAGAGGCATCCAGTGATAGCAGTCACACTTTCCTGTGGCAGCGTCCTTACCTACAGTGCATGCATGCGTGCAGTCAAAGAGCTTCAGGAGAAATGCTAATCCTGTTGTCAGCCACATGCTAACCTTATCGCCTCAATAGGACACAGAAATGTATTTGTAAATAATAAGAGTTTTAACTCAAGTAAGGCTGCCATGCTTCAGTTGTCCCATTTTATCTGAGATATAACAGTGTGGCAACTGTTCACCCAGTATACTAACCACTGCTTACAAACAAACAGCTGAATTTACCACAGGAAGAGAGTAAAAAGAAGTAACCTTGAACGCAACATTTTCCGGCAACCTCCGACCAGGAGCTCAAACATTTACAGCCGGCAGTAATGAATTCCTTTAACTCTCGTTTACATTGAGCCTGTGGACGGGGGAGTAAACTAATGTCACTTTGACTCTCTCCCTGAGTGATGAGAGTTTGTTTAACAGGACGATTTGTCGGAGAAAAATTATATTTAATGGAGATCTGATTTCAATCTTTGCAAGTGTTAGAGATCGATATAAATCTTAAATAAATAAGGCCTCAATGCGAAGGGAGCCTTTCGACTGTTATTCTCCCTGATGACTTGTCTGTTATGTTTCTATTAAGCTGTTGCTTTAAGTGCTGAAAGCAGACCGGAGACTGGGCGTTAATCATTAGAACCACATTACGCCAAGGAACAGGCGTTAAGTGTGACAGCCACTTGCTATTTTCATTTTAAGATCTGTCTGTCTCTCTTGCTTCTCTCAATTTTTTTTCCATCCATTCATCTCCCACCCTCCTTCGTATGGTTTATTAGAGGCCAGAGCCATAGGGGCTGGAGGTGTTGTTCTTGGACTGCTAAGTAAATCACCACTGTTTATGTTCAATGTTGCTCTCCAGCTGATCATTAGCCCAGTTCACAGGTCTCGTACTCTCCCTCCCCTTCGCTCTGTCTTTATGCCACACGTACAGAGGGGTTAATTGTCGGTGGAGAATTAACTCTTTCAACACTAAATCAAACATTAACCTGAAGCCTGTGGAGTGTCAGTCATTGAAACATATGGAAAGGCCGGTTTACATTTACCCACACACACTCCCTGAGGCACCACAATACTGACATGGCATTAAGCGGTGTGACGTTGCTTTAGGGGATGACGAAGTGCTAATGAGATGGGTCGGGGGGGTTGGCACAGTCCCCCTCTGGCTCCCCTTTAAAGAGATTTGTTGTCTTGGGTTTCCATGCGGGCTGTGTGTGTGAGATGACAGTATGTCTCCATGCCAGATGTGACCTATGTCATCATGGCGTGCCATCCATGAAAGCAGAACGTGCCCCCTGTTAGGCCCCACCCAACACACACACACACACAAACACACACACACACACACACACACACACACACACACACACACACACATAATTGAAAGTGTTTTCACAGGAGTGTGCAAACGCTAAAAGCGCCCGCATCACAGTGACATGATAAATAAGGCAGTTGCGTGAAAATATGTTTTTTTTCTGTGTAAAGGCAACCGTTATGGGCCTCCGTCCAATTCACTTAGTCACTCTGCTGAGTAATGGAGAGGGGACCGAGATGAGTTTGTGTGCGTGTATGGGATGTGTGTGGGGGAGGGGGGGGGCTACGACTGGCACTATCTCTGCTTCTGCGCCCACTTCAATGGGCCCTCAGCCAGCATTGATGTGGCTCTAAGCTTACTGAGAGCTGTTAAAAGAGAACATATGTTGTGCATGTGTGCGCATGTGTACTTAAAAAGACGGATCTTTCCAGAAACGCATGAGGATTTTAAGTGCGATACTGTCTGATGAAAGGATAAACACAGTCTTTCAGTCTTCTACAAAAGGACCAGGATTGTGGTGTATGGTGACCCCAACTCCTTTCGGTTACTGTGTGTCATAATGGCGGTTGTTTATCAAGTCAAGCCCTACTTTTTTATATTATTAAGGCCAACTCCCTCCCAAAAGACAAAACAAACACAACCATGTTGCAAATCTTTAACTCAAATATTCCTCACTCCCAGATGTATCCCTCTCCTCCCTATCTCCCTCTCCCCCGCCAACTCGCTCTACCCGTCTCTCGCCAGACTTCAGCCAATGGAGCGAGGCTGCCAATTTGCAGGCAATAAAATAAATTGCCCATGCTAATTAAGATGGTTGGATGGGACTGAGGAGTGGAGAGGGGTAGAGACTGATGTGGAAGCGGCCATAGAGAGCCGCAAAACAACCTGTTCTCTTCCAATTAGACACTTCGCAGGCTACTGTCGATGAAAACCAGGGCTGCAAACACCAGCATGTTGAAGTGTGTGTGAGAGTGTATTTACATAGTTTATAGCTTAAGTGGGTAGACTTGCACATGTAAACATACTTGTATAAGTTGGCGTAGGCTCCCTGAGGGCAGTATGTGTTTACATACGTTTGCTTTGTGGGTATATTTATCTTCCATTTGACCTTTGCTTTTATATAACAGCAGAAGAAAGGCAGTACCAGCCCCTGAGGTTGACTTCCAGTGATCTCCGCGCCTATATAATCACAATGATAAACAGCCTGCATTCTTTGCATTTCTCCTCATTGGCATGCACAAGTGCGAGCCTCCCATTCCTCCATCCGTTATCAGAGCATCTGTGTATCATCATTAACGTTACATGTGTTAGCCAACACAATGTTTTCCCAGCTAATACCCTGCTTGTTGATAAGCTGTGCTAATCAGCTAACTTTGAATCTCTCTTTCTGCATGGTTCTCTCTCTCACTCGCTCTCGTAAACAGGGCTGTTAATTGATCTCAGAGCCCCGTTCTTGGCGGCAGCCCGCGCAGCAGTAGACACACAAAGTAAACTCAAAGCATAACAAGGGCCTGGATCCACCAAGGGAGCAACGCACACCCATGGTGCTCCTCTGAGTTTAATCTACAGCAACACCTCTGAAGCCCTTTTTTCCCCCAGCCCTCAATTCCCCATTTGATTCAATAAGCAAAAAAGTTCCTATATAGTGCCAAAAAAAGAAGTCCACACTAATATCCATATTTCCTCATATCTCAGTGTCAATCCCTAACACAACTGGGCCATTCACACGCCTCATTTATAATCAGTGTTGGCTAATAGATGAGATTGGGAAATTCCATGTTTATCATGGGAAGAATAGAGTAGATTAACTGGCCTATGGAGGGCAATGAGAGAGTGTGTACAGATGAGTTTGCGTATGTCTGGGTGGAGTGGTGCTTTGATCTCGTAAATGGAGCCACACTCCACCAGCTGCTCTGCTGTGATGGTGACACGCACAAGCCCGGACACACAAACACGAGCACAACCACACACTAGTCCAGATGAAAAGGGAAGGGAGGACATTCATCATGTCTCCGAGGTCATGGGGGGCTGTCCCATAGACTGCTGCTAAGGTTAATTAATGAAAGTGGAGTCTGTTGCACCTGTCTGCCTACAAGTCACTCTCCAGATATGTGCTGTCCTCCTCCGCCTCCTCCTCTGCCTTCCAGTCCAAACAAAGGAAGGCAGCCAACCAACAGGAAATCCTTCCTCCTGGGGTGTTGTATTCTGATAAGATAGACATCCCCTGAGGATATCTGCAGCTTATCATACATGTCTCCCCCACTAAAATTACCCAGAGGACTTATTTACATTAAGGAAGGAACCTCAGACTGATTGGATACCACTGCAGGGAAAGCACTTCCTTCTGTGGCTTGAATTCACTTTCTCCACAACCAACTCATCAGTGGTTATAATTGCGGGTTTATACACTTGCTGTGGATTGCCATCTGACAATAAACCAACACTTAAATAACATTTGTTGAGTCAATGCTTAGCAAATTATGCCCCTGCTTATTGTACAATAATTCTCAGCAGATAAAAACTGCTACAATTACGGAACATATGGGACTGCGATTCATTAGTTTTTTAATGGAGCATATTGCTTGCCATATTGCGATTGCATAATTTGATGCTCTGGTGCCTTGACTGAATCACAAATAAACCATGAAACTACACAGATTGAAATGACTTATGATGTGCATTGTCATCCCTTTGTCTCTATATTTTTGATGTAAGTGACATGTAAGGTAATATTTCAATAAATAAAGTGAAGCTGCATCTGTGTTAGGCCACCCACCTGTCTTAAAGATCTCATATCGGATGGAGAAACCGGCTCCGTGCGTCTCGTAGTCAGACACAAACTTGATGAAAAGCTGGTTTCCGGAGGAGACGACCGGAGAGGGAGCGATCTTCCCGCAGTACTTCCCCACGAGCTGACCGCTCTCGTCCACACCATCCCGCACCTCCACATAATCATACCTGAAGGCAAGGGAAAGGGGAAACTGTTATTCACAATGATCTTTAGAAAACCATTTCCCTCAGGGTTAGTTTTCATTTAGTTCTGTTCTTGCTCCGTTCTTGTATATTGGTTTTGTGCGAAATCCATTTATCACTGTTATTGGGCTCATGTTGTGCATGTATGAAGACACGCACACACACACACATTGACATAAACACACAAAATGTCATACTCAGAGGACCCTATAAACAAGGAGCAACACAGCATATTGCGCAGGTAATGTAGCGGAAATAAAACACTGTGTACTAATGAGGTCTCAGGTTAAAACTCGGAGAACAGGTGGGCGGGTTATGCTTTCATTATATCAACCTGGCACAAACACACACACTGCAGAGGTGGTGTGCTCCTCCCAGCAGCACTGAGGTCAGGTTTACGTAATTGCTATGACTACGCTGAACAGTTGTCTTTCTCCTGTTAAACTGTGAGATAACACTCAGGGTGTGTGTGTGTGCCTCTTGAATGAGAGAAAATGGGAATTGAAAGTGATTATATCGTGGCCTTTGGATTAGGATGGTGCATAGCAAGAGAAGGTGTTAACGCTGTTCAACACACACCTACACAAACATCACAGTCAAATGGAATTTCAGACCCAGGGCTATTGAAGGGAGCAGCCGCATAATAGAGTCGGAGTATAGGAGCAGATGAGGAATACAGGTTTGAAATAGGACGGGGAACAGGAGCTATAAGACACACACACACACACACACACACACACACACACACACACACACACACACACACACACACACACACACACACACACACACACACACACACACACACACACACACACACACACACACACACACACACACACACACACACACACACACACACACACACACACACACACACACACACACACACACACACACACACACACTCACACACGGAATCTGGCATGTGTAACCTAAGCGGGTAGAGAAGAAATTAGAGTGACTGGCCTAGGGTGGTCTTAACAGCCTCTAGCTTTCAGTTTTTATGTGGAGGGCACTTTAAGTTGTTTTCACACTTTGCACTGTATATCTGGTGTGTAAGTTTGCATGATGGTTCCGATGATTTTCCATGCTGTGTTTTGACTGTGAGTGACAGGGCGAGCAAGACTCCTAAAGCAGATTTGGGTTCAGGTTTCCACAGTTTCTAATTGGCCATAACGCACGTTCCTGCCAAGTTTTGTCCGCTCTGCAGGCCACTTATCGAGCAAATACTCCCACCCAAACCCCGCTGCTCCTTGCTGTGGCGGTCCTCAGTCTTCATCAGCAACCAAGTGAAATAAATGCTATTCACACAGTTAATACAGAAATTAATTATAATGTGTGTAAGTGTAATACGCTGCAGGTGTGCGGGCATTTCTCCTCCTCCTTTCAGCAGAAAATATGTGCCTCCTGGGCAAAAGAGGCCTATTTCCATAGTTTAGCTTGAATCCAAAATTACTGTCAAAACATCACGTCTCCTTAGTGATTCTGAATTCACTTAATGCACAGGATTTTGCACAAAAAGGCCATTTACACTTTGAATGATAGCTCTGGGTGGGCCAAATCCCTCAGGTGGGGCCGTACTTGTATCCACACGCAACCTTTGCCACCTTTTTCAACAAAAATGGTTTCTTTGAATGGCTCTACTTTAAAAAAATATATTTGTAAAGCAAAAATCAGGTTACCAGAGGTGATTCAGGGAAGGGGTTTCGGCTGGGTTTTTATACTTGAAAGTAAGGAGTCAGCTATTGAGAAAAAAAGGACAGAGTGTAACTAAATGTAGAGCTGGACAGAAGTGGCACTTCTTGAAATTGTGTCCCCTGAGGTGGTGCACAGGATGGATGACTTCACTCTTCTTTCTGCTCGGACGGAGTGATCTGAGGTGATATGGAGCTGTCAACATGCATCAAGTGCCTCCTCATCTTCATCTTCGCTTTATAAGATTTTCAGTGACTCCGGGTTAAAGTTGGATATGTGGCAAGAAGGCTGCTGTCTGTCTATAAAACCAATGACTGCCATTTGCTCTCAAAACATTTTACAATTCATCCTACAGTCATTCTAGAATTAAAAATCTCACCAAAAAGTGTCCCGAAAAGATCTGGTTTCGTGCACTTTGGCTCTTCATACGTCTTGAAATCTTTTGGTTGTTTGGCCTCTGTTTATTTCTCCATATTGGGATATTAGTGGTCTTCTTTTCTCAAGCTGTAGCAACAGCCCGGCTCGGCTTACACAATTACCACTTTGTTTCAGGCACTTTATCAGCTGCAGCACAGTAAAAAAAATACTAGTTGCACATGGTGTTTACAATGTTATTCCCCCCTGCGCTTTGCTGCTAAATGGACGGGGAGTTACTCATTATTTAGTTTTAAGGGCTGCGCTGAATAGGGCATTGGGTTTCTTTTTGCTGTTACAATGTCATCTGTGTAGTTTAGTCAGCAGGACAGATAGTTTATGAATTGAAAGATACAAGACTAATCCTTTTGCAGTAATTTCTTCAATTTCTCAGCCTCCTGATTCCTCTCCTCACCATCTTTTTGGTTCCCAGTTCCCAGCAGAGAGCATCAATCTTTCTGTAGCCCTGTTCTGTTCTATCGGCAGACTTATAATTCACCTCAGGGCCTCTGTTTCTGCAGCTATCCCCCCCCCCACCTCTCTGCACCCAGCAACTGCCAAAAGCTCTGCACTGCCAGGCGCCTAAAAAATGGATGCTGAGATGCATCATTGAGGTGAAGAAGGAGAGAAGAGAACAGCAGAAGGAGCTGAGCAAGTGCTTCTGCAGTTGTGTTGCTTGTATAAACATATGCATGACATACTGTATGTACAAACATACAGAACATGATGCATAATGTAGAGGATAGTATGATTTGAATTGTGTGCACATGGACAGATGGGCAGGCAACCAATGTTTTCATATCGCCTGTTTCACAATCTCCTTAGTCTATATCCAAACAAGACGGATAATCTTATCTTCTTTTATATTTGGACTCCTCACACCTCCAGAAAAGCTGTTTATTGCATTTTTTCCCTGGCGCTTCATCAGCTCAGATTGCCCTCATAAAGGCAGCACAGTGGGAGAGAGGATGCACATAGAAGAGAGAATACGCGCTGTGCTCTGTGTGCGGGGAAAGTGAGAAAGGGACCTCCTTCTCCAAAATCTATTTGTGCCTAAATAACTGGTGTATGAGCCAGAGCTGGAGTGGTCCTGCGCCAGTGGGCCCGCACACTTACAGTAGCTCTGCTAACACAGATCCATCCAGGCCCTTATCATCTGGAAGACATTAAGGCAAACGCTTGATGGGGCAGTTTGAGCTCTGAAAAGGCTCTCGTTGCCCGCTGTGTAAAAGTAGCTCTAATCCAGTGCTCTAAACACCTGTGGGGATCGCTCCCAGGGTTGGAATCCTTAGGGAAGATGGGCGGCGGTTAACAACACCTATTTATGACCATACAAGAAGAACATGGCCTACTTTTAAGCCCCATATGGTTCCACACAAGTGGGGTCCTCCTGACCTTCCAATTTAAACTTGGATTTCTTTTCTCAGGGCCCTGTGGGGTGATTTTTTATCTTGTATCACTCCTGTTGTTGTTCTTTTTATTCCTCATGGCAGTACAATTCAGTTGAGCCATGCACCTATTTATCTGTCTAGGCTGCTTTGGGTCTGGGTGGGTCTGCAAGCACGCCACAACACACACACAGAAAATGACACACACACATACACACACACACACACACACACACACACACACACACACACACACACACACACACACACACACACACACACACACACACACACACACACACACACACACACACACACACACACACACACACACACACACACACACACACACACACACACACACACACACACACACACACACACACACACACACACACACACACACACACACACTGTGAGCTGCCAATGGTTTGCCAATCCAGTTGGGAAATTAAAGAGAAAAAAGAGAGGGTTGGGTGGGTAAGGGGGGAGTGAATGTAATTCTCAACGACCTTCGCTTCACGGACTCAAATGTATTAGCCTGCCTTCTTTCTTCAGGCACAGAGAGAAAGCAATCCGCTAGTGTCAAACGAGAACATTAGCCCTCCTTGCAAAGCCAAAGAGAAGGCGACAAACCAGCGGCCTTACAATATAACGGTTATATTGCCTGAAGCTTTCCCATGGAAACAATCTGTCCTCCCTCTATAAATGTCTGCTTGATATGGTTCTATAAAGGCAATATAATCCGAGGCAATGGAATAACGCTATGACAGACTGGATAAGCCTTGTACAATTGGTTAGATTTCTTAATCAGACCATTTATAAGCTCAAGCATGATGTGGAAACCCCCAGAACAAGAGCTCTTTCTTTGCCATTACTCCCTTTGGTTCAGCCGAGTATAGAACAAATGCCCTGCACTTTACTCTGGCATTTCTCTTTCTGCGGCTGTCACAGTATAACTTGCTATCGCACGAAAACATGTCACCTACAACATGTCAAAACATCCCTGGGTAACACAAGTGGGGAGGCCCAAACAACAGACTTGGGACAGCTCAGTGAGGCCCAGGGGGGTTAGCAGGAAAAGAGACTTTGTTGTCAGCTGTCAGAAAACTCCGGAGACCTCACGTGTTAACGAGTCTCGGCTAACAAACCATCACTTGGGCCTTTGAAAAAACATCATTAATGTTTGTACAAGGAGCAAGAGACAAGCTGATCCCTGACTTACTTTTTCCTAGCCTGGAGGGGACATACTTCGTTGAAATCAAATGGTCTTTCTGTCTTTACTTTCTCTACCAGACTGCCTCCCTCGTGCATGTGACATTCATTAACCCACACTAGAATAACATGTCCCCTCTTTCCTGTAATGAGGAAGTACGAAAAAATCCGAGCTGTAAGCCAGGTGTATATTTGAATGTTATCAGCTGAAAACATTAACCCTAATTGACTTGCTAACATTGAGAAGTGTATTGATGGTCAAATTGTAGA